AAACGCATGATCGCACCGGCTAGTCTGGTGCGCGTTGCCATTTATTTTACTTTGAATCTTCGATAAGCTGCCTTTCATTGGAGGGGTATTTTCACAGTACCAATGTAATTGACAGCTTTTCTTTGACCGAAACTCCATCAGCTGACTGGGAGATTTGAATCCGCAGTTTTACAAAAAACGCATCACTGCTAGTCCATGGAACTTCGACCGGTTATTTTACTCTGAATTTTTGATAAACTGCCTTTTTCATAGTATTAGCGCAATTGACAGTTTTCCTGTGATCGAAACTGCATCAGCTGGCTGGAAGATTTGCACCCGCAATATTGACTGTTGCCCCTTTGCCTAATTTCTTTGATTTTTCTGAAGAAAAGCAATAAATTTATTGTTTTTTTCCGTATTTCTGTGTCTCATTAGTGTGACTCTTAGTAACAGATATAACTCTTTTTAGGTGGGAAAGTCCTTAATTTTTTTGGTTTTTCCGAGGAAAGCACTAAAATTTATTGTTTTTCCCGTATTTCTGTGCCACAGTGCGAATGTAGCAACAGATATCACTTTTTTTAGGTAGGGAAGTCCTTAATTTTTTTGGTTTTTCCGAAGAAAAGCACTAAAATTTATTGTTTTTCCCATATTTCTATGTCTCAATGCGAATATTAGCAACAGATATCACTCTTTTTAGGTAGGGAAATTCCAGTAGTCAATTGTATTAGTGCTTTAAAAACTCGGCTCTGCGCCAGGGGATGCGTTAAAAGATGACCAGTCAGTTATGATTCTAAGGGGGGGTTTTTTAGCGGTGCTAGTCAGGAGTTCGAGACGATAAATGGTGACAGTGGCTGGAGGTGGATTGTTGTGTTTTGACCAACTGCCATCTCACCGTCGTGTTTTTTTCTCGCCACTGATGCAGTAAAAATAATAATAAAATGGCCAATTCCATAATTCGATTTGAAAATTTTGGCGTATATATCATATTGCATAAAATGTGCCCCGTGTTCCCTTACTGTATCTCCTGGTGTCATTGGTAAAAGCCTGAATTGTGTGTTTATTTACCTGTATATGTGTGCATAAAATTTGGTTAAAAGAGCATTTTTTTTTTGTAAATTTTGAAGTGATAAAAAACAATTAAATCGACACAGAAGCTCTAGAAACATAACAAGCGAAAAATGTTTTTTCGGTTGTTAAAACTGCTTTACGAAGGAACAGTGGGAAAGCTGGGAGACGTAAAAACGTGTAAAAAGATGAAGAATGGACTGAAAAATGCGCAACTTTCTTGACACCCACACAAAATTTGAGGGATTGAGGTAAAACACAGAAAGTCGGTTGATCGATTTATTTTCCGGTGCGTGTTTTTCTTGAAAGAGTATTGCTGCGCTTCAGAATTTGTTCTTTTTTATCGGATTTATGCGGTTGTATTACTCAAAAAATCAGGGGAGGGCGGGAGAGGGGAAGTATGATCGAGGGGGCTTAAGCGATACCACACAGTGGTGCAATAAGACCAAGCAAACCGATGAGGTATGCCTTACCAAGCTACAAGCATTACGTTGCTACCATTACCCTTTGCTACTTCATAGTTTGTAAACTTTAAAAGCTCCGATATGGACAGAAATAATGTTGTGAAAAATTTCTGCTTTCTAGCTTGACTGATTCTCGATTTTGTCTCCCAACAAACAGAACGTTAACACATCTGTATGCAAAGATGCAGGTGTACGTGAAATCTGAATTTAAATTTCTGGGATTACACATGCACAGGGAATATCCTCGTAAAATTTCAGCTTTCTGCATTATCTGATTTTTGAAATCAGATTTGGTGCTGGGAAAAGCTCTGCAATTTTAGATCCCAAATGTCCGGATGTGGTACAGCATGTGAAAATTGACGTTTCGCTCATGAAGCCGAATAATGGGCTGAAGACATTCGCGTGAAATATTTTTCCACACAGTACTTATGATATATGCAAATTTTTCATAAAATTTATTTGGTTTATTCATTTGCGTGTATTCGAATCTAGAAAATTAGTTATTTTTTTCAGTTTTAGAAAAATTAGAAAAATTTTAGAAAAATTTAGAAAATTAGTCTTTTTGATCAACTAAATCCCTTTTCACTCTTTAAAATTATGATCAATTTCCTTACGCAGGTAAATCTCATTTTATTTATTAATTTTTTTTTATTATTTTATCAAAGCTACAACCGCCGTAGTGAAAAGGCCTAGT